CTTAGGATACTATTTTATATTTTCACCTTAGATCTTGAACAATATTTTCCAACCATATATGAAATTAATTCCACCCATTATACGTGCATCCTTTTCCCCTTCGGTTAAAACATATACCCTCTTCCATTGAATTTATTAGCGCTAACTATATAATTTTTCAATATATAGTGATTTTATATATATATATAAAATATATTCATATATATAATAAGAAAAAGAAGATCTATATATATATAGAAAAGATTATAAAAATAAATTAGGGCCACTTAAATAAAAAATTTAACCCTAAACTAACCCTTAAAAATATTTAATCCTAATATAAATTAAGCTATATAACCTGATAACCTGGAGATAATTAAAAAAACATAACAACATAGTCTTTAACAAGTATAGGAGTTCAAAAGGCTTGACTAATCAACAGGTTACTAACTGCAATACTAATTATAAGAATACTAATAACAACTTATGTAATTGTAGAAATCCGAATAATTGTCCACTACAAACTAACTGTGGAATTACTTCTGTAGTCTATCTTGGTACTATTTCAACAATTGAAAATCCAAATATAAAGAAGTTTTACATTGGTTCTACCATGAAAAACATTCAAGGAACGCTGGCGGGGGCATATGCAAATCCTTTAATCACAGTGAATATAGGTACATGACTTCATTATCCAAGTATTTTTTTGGAATCTAAAAGATAAGAACAAAACACCTACAGGTTAAATGGAGTTTGGTTAAGAAAGCTCGTACATGTAACTCCCTATATACCCCATGTTACCTATGCCTTAATGAAAAATTTGAAATTATTAGATTTAAAAACAAGGCTGATCTCTTAAATCAAAGATATGAACTTACAGTAAATTGTAAACACCGTTATAAATTTAACTTAGTGTAGGGGTCGTATACTTTAAATGATAATGATATGTCGCTGTATTTTTAATAGATTAGTATTTTTATTGCATGATGGTCATACTTACGATATAAGTGTGTATTGTATACCTGCATAGTGTTATTAGTGTTGATGTAAATGTGTATATATTTATTTATGTGTTGGTTAGAGTATTTGCACTGAGGAATGTGTAGGTTGGTGTATAAATTTATTGTTTTTTTTTTTTTTTTTTTTTTTTGGGTATATATATGTGTGTGTGTATATGTATGTATATATATATGTGAGTGTGTGTGTATATATATATATATATATATTAGGTATAGTAGATTATAAGATGATAAGAATAATTGTTGCTAATAATTGTTACGCCTATATGTACGTGTGTGTGTGTGTATATATATGTATTTGTGTATGTGTGTGTGTATATATATATATATATGTATAAATATATATATATATGTATATATATATATATATATATATATATATGTGTATATATGTATATATATATATATATATATATATATATATGCATATATATATGTATGTATGTGTGTATATGTATGTATGTGTGTGTGTGTGTGTATATGTATGTATATGTATATGTATATGTATAAAAAATCACGGCAGTATAATGGTTGGCCAGCATGGTTCACTGGATTAGGTGCGACCGAGTAATGAGTTAGTTCCTCACTGGGTGCCTCCCTAATTTCGGCTTTGTGCCACTATATATTTGTATATATATATGTCTGTGTGTGTGTATGTGTGTATGTATATATATATATATATATGTGTGTATATATATATATATATCTGTATGTCCTATTTTATTGTGTATGTGTATATATTTAAGTATATTTCTGTTTGTATGAATGTGTTTATATATTTGTATGTTAGACTATATGTATATTGCTGTGTGTTGGTTTTTGAAGGTATATTTATGTATCTATATGTTAGTTCGTTTATATATGTATTTGGTTGAATGTTGTTGTATTTTTATGTATGCATGTATATATGGGTAGTTGTTATTGTAGATATATATATTTTATATATATTTTATTTGTAGATATGTATGTATATGTATATATTTATGTATGTTTGTGTGTATATATATATATGTGTGTGTGTTGGCACCTATTATGTATGAGTTTGTTTGTGTGTATGTGGGGTATGGAAACTTTGGTATATCATGACTGTTTTTTATATATGTAAGTATGTGTGCATAAAAGTTTGTGTATATATGTGTGTGTATTTAGGTTTATATGTATATGTGCGTGCATGTGTACTTGTTATCATAGATATGTATATGTACGTATATGTTTATGTTTATATATTTATTTGTATGCATTTCTGTATGTATATATATGTATATGTATGTATGAGTGTATATTTATGTGTGTTAATTTGTTTTTGCTGCCGTGTATATATATATATATATATATATATGTGTGTTTCTTTATTATCCTGTTTTTCTTGCCTAATATATAATGAAACTATTATCAACTTATATGATTAATAATATATTTTTTTTGATATTTTATGGTTTTAGAATTTTCGTTTTAATATATTAAATAATATTATTTTTAACCATTTTATCTTTGTATATTTG